AGAGGATTGGATAAAGAGTGGGTGGAGGTTTCACTTATGTCGTGGTGAAGTATGCTTCCTATTCTGTTAGAAACTTGCTCACTCTGCAAAAGATATGTTAAAGTCGTAGTCTTCCACACTCTGTCATTTCTCTGTTTCTAGTTTGTTTTTACAATAACAATACGTCATGATCATTATTTAATACCATGGTACATTAGGACGAATTACATCCTCATGAATCTCAAGATTGATCCGATCAAAAAATACATAAAAGATAGAGCCCTGAAATTATTTACCAAAATCTGACAGGCTTAACAACACCGCGATATCGAATCTCAGAATGGTTACAGGCTTCTTAGTTTGATGAAGTGATAATAATAATAATCCAATAATCCAGAAACCTCGCAGTTAACAGAGAGTAAAAGTGTTCAAGTGCACTGACTCAACTAGCCTCAACATAATAATAAAAAAAAAATTATTATTTTAGTGGAAAGTAAATATGTGGGTGGTCCCTAGGACATTGTAAGTGCATTTGTAATTTGATTATAATTGCTCTATAAAAGCATAAGAGCTTAATTAATACAATATATTCCCTTGAAGCTATTCATGTTAGCACAAAATAACGTTGGCCTCAAGAGCGTTCGATAAGTTCTAATTATTTCGAAGTACAAGTCCATTGTTATTATGTCCGTCAATTATGAAAATTGTTCGATGAGTTCGGAGCAGAATTGTAATTTACAATAGTAATTATATACACTAACGTCGTACAAGTATTTGCTTAATAGAAAACCTGTAAATTATATGCCAACTGAATTATTAATTCACTCGGCTGACACAGGAGCAATAATAATAAACTGTTTGCCTGAAATGCAACCACAGAAAATTAAAAGCAATAAATCATATTGACAATTGACCAAATTTCGTGCTGGTGAGTTCTTATAGCTTGTAATGTTTAGTGACCAAAACAAGTTTATTTTGGAGATGTTAGAATTAAGTATTTCCGCTGCTCCCCGCTCTAATTTTGCTGATAAACAGCACTAAAAAATCTATAATTATTCCTATATACGGTCAGCCACTAGTCAAATAATATATGTGCTAAAAACGAATCTATACACGCCAATCATTATTATTAATAATTTAATATATATATTGTGTAATATTCTATAATACACATTCATGATTTAATAAATTATGTATATAAATTATATTAATTCTTATGGTTGTTTAACCATACAAATATTGCCCTGCCACTTTTCTTGTTGATCTGGATAAGAGCAAATAATAAATGCAAAACAGCCACATTGCAAGCAGCACGATTGCTTGTAACTAGAATTCCTGCTTTGTTGGTCTCAATAAAAGATATGAGTTGTTTTCTGTCGCTGATTTTTAAAGTGCAGAACTGTTTAACATGAGTTATCTCCTTAGAACCTCTCTGGTAGGTACTGATATCTGATTTTTTGTTGCTGAATAGAAGCATTGATTACTCCACTATGAGCTTCAATACATGTAACTAACATTCTAACACTGCCGTAAAAAATATCATTCTTTCCTATCTCTGCAACAAAAAAGATCAACTACTCAGCTCTCACCTGACAGATTTTTACGAAGGAGATCTTCATTTACATCCTGCACTTTAAAATCAAGCGAACAGAAAAACAACTCTATTTTTTAAGGACCACAAGCAGAATTGATCCATATAGTATACAAAGCAACATCGTTGCTGTTGCAAATGTGTTGTTTTGCATTTATTTTATTGCCTCTTATCCCCAGAACTCAACCAACAGCAAAAAGGTGGCAGCAATAATTGTGTCAAGAGTTAAAACAACCATAAAGAATATTAAATATAAATATTATATACATAATTTAATATAAATATAATGAAATGTGTATATAGAAATATATACACAATATATATATTAAATATATTATAAATAATAATGTTGGCGTTAGATTTCAGCTTTGTTAGCACATAATATATATTTGACTAGTTGTAACCGTATTTATTTAGGATAATTAATAGATTTTTTTAGTGCTGTATATCATCAGCAAATAGAGCGGGGAGCAGCGAGAAATACTTAATTCTACATTCAATCCAAAATAAACTTGTTTTGGTCACTAAACATTACAAGCTATAAGAACTCACCAGCACGAAATTTGGTCAATTGTCAATATGATTTATTGCTTTTAATTTTCTGTGGTTGCATTTCAGGCAAACAGTTTTTTATTATTGCTCCTGTGTCAGCCGAGTGAATTAATAATTCAGTTGGCATATAATTTACAGGTTTTCTATTAAGCAAATACTTGTACGACGTTAGTGTATATAATTACTATTGTAAATTACAGTTCTGCTCCGAACTCATCGAACAATTTTCATAATTGACGGACATAATAACAATGGACTTGTTCTTCGAAATAATTAGAACTTATCGAACGCTCTTGAGGCCAACGTTATTTTGTGCTAACATGAATAGCTTCAAGGGAATATATTGTATTAATTAAGCTCTTATGCTTTTATAGAGCAATTATAATCAAATTACAAATGCACTTACAATGTCCTAGGGACCACCCACATATTTACTTTCCACTAAAATAATAATTTTTTTTTATTATTATGTTGAGGCTAGTTGAGTCAGTGCACTTGAACACTTTTGCTCTCTGTTAACTGCGAGGTTTCTGGATTATTGGATTATTGGATTATTATTATTATCACTTCATCAAACTAAGAAGCCTGTAACCATTTTGAGATTCGATATCGCGGTGTTGTTAAGCCTGTCAGATTTTGGTAAATAATTTAAGGGCTCTATCTTTTATGTATTTTTTGATTGGATCAATCTTGAGGTTCCTGAGGATGTAATTCGTCCTAATGTACCATGGTATTAAATAATGATCCTGACGTATTGTTATTGTAAAAACAAACTAGAAACAGAGAAATGACAGAGTGTAGAAGACTACGACTTTAACATATCTTTTGCAGAGTGAGCAAGTTTCTAACAGAATAGGAAGCATACTTCACCACAACATAAGTCAAACCGCCACCCACTCTTTATCCAATCCTCCTGCCTAGATACTAGGAACTATTAGGAAAACTTTAACCTCTTTATTACTCTTTTTTTTCTAAGATATAAATGGTATTAGTTTTATTTTGTATTGTTTAGCATCACAATCTGAAAACCTTCGGTGCAATCAAATAAATTAACCTGATTTTAACGGTTTTAGTGGAGTTTAGAACTAATATTGTATTCGAAGATCGAAGTTAATAGTGATAGTGGACAATAGTGAATAATAGTGGACAGTAATTTAAAAAGTTCTTCCTTTCCCAAAGCGAGCCAATTTCAATTATTTGTGGTAGTAGGTAGTACTGAGAAAAGTTTAAGTCCAAAATTTTGCATCTTAATAGTAAGTAGAATTGTTGTAGCAGAAGTAGGTATCTTGCACTAATGTTGTTATCTTTCCTGTTTCTTTAATATTTTATTGTATCTCAGTTTTCGGTTCTGAACATCATATAAGAAACAACAAACCTTTCATTTTATTTTTATATTTATAAAGAAATGATATATTATTTTTTTTGTATCTTTAATTCTAAAATAATAGAAAAAATAATATCACACTAGCACAACGGCACTAACAGATTACATAATCAATTTATAATATGCAATTATTTGATATAGAGCATGATCTAAAATTATGGATAATTGAGAAGATAAAATTATACATTATAAATTTAGATGTTATTCATCTAAAAAATAAAAGTACAAAATTCCTAGATTTAGCAATAAATAACTACTATATATCTTATATATGATCGTATCGAAATATATTGTTTTAGCTCAGTTGAATGACAATGACACTACATTTTTATGTACTGCAAAAACTGAACTAATTGTTGTTGAAATAAAATTGATATATATTATAAATATAACAACTAAACAAAATTTAAAACAGTCTAAGATAACATATAATATATATATATAATAATATAACATAAGTGTACATGCAATAAATGAATAACAGTAACAATAAAAGTTCTAAATTAAAATCAGATAATCACTCAAATGTACTCACACGATATACATAGGTATAATTTGAAAAATAATCAAATTGAACTGTTAACCAAGCAAAAATTAATTGATAGTATTAAAGTAATTATTTTCATTAACAATATTTATGTGTTTTAATATGAACATACACTTATAGTTATTTGACTTCCAAAATTTTAATTTTTTCTTAATTTACTTTCAGGTACAGCAGGAACTTAAGTATTGTAGTTTTTAAAAATGGCTAAAGAGAATGATGCCCAAAAAGAAACTGATAGTTTTATAGTAAAATATAAACAAAATTATTATAATATAACAGAGTTTATGCATAAACACCCTGGTGGCATAACGACACTAAAGGGTTTAAATAATGCGGATATGACAGGACGCTTTATGAAAGCTCCACCACATTCTGATGCTGCTATGTACCTCATGAAGGAGTATAAAATCAAAACAAATGCAAAACATGCTCATACGAACGGGCACAATGGCTTGACGAAGGTTCAAAAGGAAAATGGCATTGAGTTAATCGAAGAAGAAGATAGGAATGATGGTCATCTGGATGAGAGTATGGAGGTAAGTTGTGTGTACGTCACTCACCATATATTGTATTATACAACTTTACATTCTTAATATATGTATATAAATCGAACTCATATAGTTTATCATATACATAGTTAAATATTAAACAATGTTATCATAAAAGACTTTTGAGTACAATAAATATGTAATAAAAGTATATTTACTGTTTTTTTTAAGTTTCTAAAAGTAAAATTCAGCTTTTTAAGCAAATCTTTATAAAATATAATTTAAAATTAGTCATTGTTTTGTACTTTGGTTACTTGCAAAAATTATTAAATGAAAAATGATTACTTCTAATATCTTAATCTGGATTTTTAAGATAAACCTTAGCTTTTGAGAAGAGGCGTATATCTGATTCCACACGCTGAAGTTCTTTTTCAATTTTACATTTACGGTTACGTATGCGTAGTGTTTCAGTTGTCATAGGTAAACTATTTAATTCATCAATAAGAGTTCGATACTCTAACAACAAAATATTGAATAAAACATTAACAAGAAATGTGCACATGTGTTCAATGGTTTCAACTTACTTTTCTCTGCGCCCATCAGTGCACTAACTCGGTGTTCCTCGCTTAAAACGTAATGGTCATCAGGACAATCAGGATCACGACTCATTTCTTGCAGGCGCTGCTCTTCTTTTTCACGTTTTTCCTTCTCTAAATAACGTGGTAAACGTATATCATCACGACCTGCAATAGAACATACAAAATGTTTTAATTGCACATTCGTAGTTATATATACCACGCTTCATTAAAGATAAATTCTTTTTCAACTGGTATCACCCATGCACAATTGGGTGTTGTAATCAATATCGAATTCCTACAATTACTATAGCTGCAAACGGTATAAACTGAAAAAACTTGCAATTGCAAGTCTAGATGTCTACCACATTTACTAAAGTTTTACTTAAAATTATCTTTCTTATACATTAATTTACAACCATCAATAAATTTCCATTAGTTAATTATAAATAATTTATGTGGTTGTAAATTAATATTGTAATTTAAAGAAAAAACTTACTTCCATGATGCAGATTACTGCTAGATTTTTTTGAACATAATAAACCACCTTGGCTTGTAAAAGAGCTTACAGATTTATTGCTCCTTCCTGATAATGACTGGCTACTTTTCGTGTTTATCGGTTGATCGTGTACAGATAAATTTGACATTTTAGCGTTAAATTTTCCTTCGCTATCCTGATTTCTTAATTTAACACTATTTGCAATTGAAGTATGTGAACCACGATGACCAAGTAGTTCATTTACTTGATTGTCACAGTAATTTGCATTAGTCGTCTGCAGTAGTGTTTGGTCATAATTTGCACCCATGTTTTGTGAATATTCATTAACAATTGATCGGTGTGACCGGGCAGAAGCCATTGGCGTTTTTCTTTCTTCATTCTCCAATTGCCTGTGCCTGTATTCGTTTTCGTTATATGACATTCGTTCAGCTTCTTGTAATTCAGGCTCATCATGAACATTATAAGCAGAATCTCCATTATATCCACTGTACATTTGCGTTTCAGGCATTAAGAACTCATTACTACCAGCATTTAAACACCCATCGTTCATTTGATCTTTATATGAATTACTAGACGTAATTCTAAAAAAACAAAAATGATTAAATAAAATGTTTTAATATGTATAATCATTATAACAAAGAGCATACTTTTTTAACGCATTGTAGAGAAATTCTTCATCCTGTATATCTTCGGTTTGAATTTCCTTATCGCAAGATGTTTTCTTTTTCAACTCAAAGTTGGAATTAGTACTTTTTGTTAAATTGATGCCACTTTTTACAAGACTAGATTGTTTTGTTAAACTATCTTTGCTTACAGCGTTTGAGACAGAACTTTGTTTTGTCAAACTATTTCTACTGGCGGAATTATAAAGAATTTTGACATCTTCACGATTCCCCGTCGAACTTTGTGCAGATGGTGCGCGATGTAGTGAACTGGAACGTCTCCTTCCCAAATACTGCAGTTCTTTCTGATGCTTCTTCTCCAAAAGTTCCTGCTTTTCAGAAGCTTGACGTTGTATATCACGTAGTTTCAATTTGTTTTCGCGCATGAAATCACGTCGATATTCCACTTCTAAAAAGAATTTATTATACTACATATTTAAGAGCTGGTCACTTAGGCAACAGAATGCCGCAACAATAAAGCTCACACTTACTTGGTACACTAAATACGCCTTTTAGAGTCTCAACGCGTTTTACAGTTGTTGAGGACATGTTGTATTGTTCAGCACACAAATAAAATTTTTATTAAAATAATTATCTAGAATATATGTTTAAATATTTTTGAAATCCATACAACAAGAAGAACCGCGCAACCAACAAGCGCCGATGCAAAATAAACAATAAAAATTTGACAACTTACTTGCTAGTTCGTGGTGGTAACGAGTAGTAACGAGTAAACAATGCAGTCAAGTTCTCGTCGCGGCACTGCCACTCTCAAAATATTATCAGTAATATTTAATATATAAATTTGCACTGTTTATAATTGCATAAAAAACGAATGTAACGAATGTTTTTTCAATTGTAACTCAACCCGAAAAAAATCTTTTTTTTTTTTTGAAAAGTATTTAATTTTGGCTTCCGAACGTCACATATTAAATTTGTTATTTAAAATTTATGTTCGTTTTGACAATGACAAGTAAAATTTGAGTGTTGAATGAGGCTTACTTATAAAAAATTTAATTCACTTACATGTACACTTTTTATAATAAATAATGATGAGCAGATTTTTGTCTACATTTATCACTATTGTATTGGGTCTTTTTCATATTAAATCCAGTAAATCTAAATTAATTCAGCTACAAACCTTCTACAAATAATCAGCTGTTATTAAAATAATATATACTCTGTAATTATGTGTTTATACAACGCATTTAATTTCATTATTTACAAAAGTAGTAATTTTAAATTTTGTTAAATGTGTAGTGAGTATAAAACGAGTAGTCTTAAATGATTATGTTTCAGCAAGCAAGATCCGAATGGCCTTACTGAAATCATACAGAGCGCAAGTGAAAGAAACTGGCAATGCATAACATTCAGCATTTATTTCATTGTGTACAAAATGATTTAATAATGGTCAATACTAATGGTAAAACATCCTTAGCATAGCTGCAATAGCTTTGTTGGTTAAATCTTATTTTGCGTTGTTTCAGATAAAACTATATGTAAATAATTACTTGTTTACTTAAAACTTATATTAATACTCATATACATACATTAGAGCATGTAATATAACAATGTAATATATAGAGACACTTTCCAAATGACTTTTTTTGTTCTTGGTCTAAGAAATCATTTAATCTCTATGGTATTTTCATAAGAAACATGCCATATATTATTTTATGTATTCATGTGTTAGTTTGGTATATTTGACTAATAAATTTTAACCTTTTTGCAGTATTTAGTCGATTGGTCAAAGGCAATGGTGCCACAGATACCTAACATAACAAAGCATTACGATGAATGGGTACATAAACCAGTAGACAGACCTCTACGTCTTTTTGGACCATGGTATTTAGAAATGTGCACGAAAACACCTTGGTGGGTAGTACCCACATTTTGGATACCAGTCATAGTTAAATGTATATTAAACGAGTTTTTAGATGCTATGAATGCAGCGAACATAGAAAAGGTAAAATATTTTAAACTTTATTTCAAAACTATTGAATAAATAATCATACTTTTATTTATATTTATTAAATTACAGTTAATCTACCTCATTGGCTATTTTATAGTTGGAATTTTATTTTGGACATTATTGGAGTATGCGCTTCATCGTTGGGTATTTCATATGAAAATCAATAGCAACACCAATATTTGGCTGTGTACATTCCATTTTATGATTCATGGCCTTCATCACAAAGTACCCTTTGATCCATTGCGACTAGTATTTCCACCATTGCCTGGTGCACTTATTTGTACAATAATATACACTCCGATTAGCTTTTTGGTGCCGACTCCTCATGTCCTGCTTAGTGGAGCACTATTTGGCTATTTATGTTACGATATGATGCATTATTACTTACATTACGGAAGTCCCACAATGCGCCATATGTACCATATGAAACGTTATCATTATCAGCATCATTTCGCGCATCAGAATATGGGTTACGGCATCAGCAGTCCACTCTGGGATTTCATTTTTGACACACGTATACATTTACGCAAACTGAAGTTTCAGTTACGGTGGAAGTAATGAGTACGGCATACCGGCATACAATATATTGTATGTCTGTTTTCGTATTAAGAACAAATTTTTAGCAAATATTTTTTTATTTTACAACTTTCTATATAAGCCAAAGACATTAATATTACCAATATTTTTTAATACTAATTTTTTGATAGTATGTGTACATATAAGATAAATTATATCTTGTCTCTAATTATATTAGAGATTGTGTTATTTTTGTAAGTGAAGTATTAGAATTTTAATTTTATATACAATAAAGTATATGTAGACAATTATAAATGATTTTTAAATTTACAATATCTATGAAATTGTTGTTTTTCTTAATATAAGACAAATATTAAAAAGTCATAGTTTTCATTATTAATAATGGATTCAATTTAATGAAAATAAAATTTTTTAAATACTGTTTTAAATAAATAAATAATTTTATTTCATTTTTGTAAATGTACTGGAAGACAAGCCGTATACCTTCTAATTATCCTATTGACATTCTTTGCTTTATCCTAAGCCTCATATACAAGAGTTGCGTTAATTTCAGATTAATAAATAATATATAAAATAGTTAAGTACTTCAACCACAAGCTTTAAACATTGCAGTTATTAAATATATATGCATGACTTAAATGTATATCTGGTTCAGTTTCAATCAGACGTCACTTTTTTGCGTTTTTTGCATTACTTGTCTGAATTGTGGGAATGAAGTCTTCGTCGGTGGTGGATGTAATCTAGCACATAGTGTTATAAATGGTTCGTACAGAGAAGGCCTCTCCATAGCATTAACAGTATAATGTTTAATTCGTTCACGTGAACACCAAGTATTGGCACGATTTAATATTGATTCAACAGAGTTTAGCTGCTGTGACGGCAATACTGACGATTCTTTACGACTACGTGCCCTCATATTTGCCAACACAATTATAGGAACTTCTTTTTTTTCTTTATTTTTGTCTATATCGATTTTTATGTCTGCTAACATGTCTAAACTGCTGGGATCAGATGGATCATAAACTAAAACATAGCCATCGGGAAAATATAAATAATGTCGTGCAAGCTGCGCTTTGCCCTGTAAGCCTGCTGTGTCATAAATTCGAAGAGTTTCTCGAGTGCCGCGACCAGTATCGACGCTTGCCACGTATATATCCTCAATGGTAGAATGAATTTCCTAGAGTAACCACATATCGATTTCTTTTTTTATTATATTCATCATATTGTTGTAAAAATTTTCAAATCATTGTTTATTTTAATTTACTTACCGAATCTACATTTATATTGCCATAAATAAGTTGCTCCAATAGTGCAGTCTTACCAACCCCCTTCATGCCACAAATCAATACTTTTCCAACCTTATTAATTTTTGTAGTCAACATTCTTAATTACGTCAAGAACACAACTAATTGTGAACAATTTTAATTTTATAATTGCAGTTAGTTGTTAGAAATGAAAGCCATATCCCAGCTTGTATACTAATATTCTGCACAGCTGATAGAACTTTAAACAGGGAGTCTACAAACTTATAATTGTAGCATGTTGCCATATGCTAAAAAAATTTTTTAACTCTTGTTTTAATTAGAAATCATTATCATCCTACCTAAATCCTAAATACCCTGACAGACGGTCTAAATTATCATTAAGAAGTTGCTGTATGATATGTTTTTTTTATTGAAAAAGCAAAAGAAAGAATTTTAAATTCAAAATGGATAAGCAAGAAAAATTAAAGAAACTTGCTTTAATTAAATTTAAAATATATGATATTAAATTTACAAGTTTCAAATTTGTCTAGACAACTAAATACTTAAATTTGGTTCCATTTTTTATTTTCCACATAGCACATCCATTTCTAAAACCTAATAAATTGGGTTAAATTCGGTCATTAAAGACCATCCCAATTAACAAAAATAAATTAGCCCCTTAATGATATAATCCCGCTGTCAATGCTAAATCTCTTGGCCATTCAAATTAATCTGAAACAACTTGACTTGTTAGCCCGTATTTCGCAAATTTGCTGTATCAAGCAATTTTAATTCGATTTTAATTTGTGTGTTAATAAACAGTAGTTTAGTTTTTGTTTTGTACAGTACTTTTTCATATTTCTATTTGTTTTCAGATTATATATTTTGCCCATTTTACACATTCTTGCTGTTTTGTTGTGACTCCTCTCTTGACACTTTGGCACGTTCCTGTTGAATTCAACTGAAGTAAAAAGTTTTTAAAGTTATAAACAAAAAAGCAGACTTATAATATTAACACATTAATTAAATTCATTAATATACGTTTTATAATGATTAACGAAAACCCATTCAGTAATGATAAAAAGCGACAACGC